CATGGATGACGTCGCCGGACACGAGAGCTGGATGAACTTGAAGAAAGCCTCCGGGGCACAAACCTGGCCTTCGAGGGACGATCGGCTCATGACCAGCGCGAGCTTCGTCGAGTCGAGGCAGATCCGTTATCCGCCACGGCGCATGCCAGGCCACATGTCTCTACCCCAGGCTTCTGCGTCATTGACCCTGGCGCGTATCCCACATGTGCGGACGGCGCAAAACCATGCAGCGGGGAGACGATCGAGGCGGTGTATTCAGTCACGGACAATGTAGCCTCGGCACCCGGGCCACACATGCATGAGAAGCAGCAGCGGAACTCTCTGGGATCAACGGATGTACCTGCTGGACGGCCTCATAGTAGATAAGTGCCCGGGTGGCATCGATTGGCGCGACTGTGGACCGGTGTACTTACCAGGGGGTGGATGATGTCTGTGGGCAGCCTATTAGGAGCCCAGTCTCTGAAACGGCGAATGTTGGACGTCAGAACACGGCCCGTGACAGGAAAAGTGGAAACGCGCGTCCCGCACAAAGGGGCTGCGGTGGGGCGCCGCGCCATCTCAAGAGCAAGTTGCACTGGCCAGGCACTGGCAAAATTCGACAGGACGTCGACGAACAGCTATCAAGCAAGCAGAGGGACTGCGGTATATGCCGTCAGTTAAGGCCCGAGAAAATGAGCGATATAGAGCGGTGCAGCTCGGGAACATGATACAGTGCACTGCGACGGGCTCGTGCGCAGCGCCCCGAACACTGGGACCGGGACGCGTCGAGGCAGGAGCTCCTGGGAACGTGCCACCCGAAGTTCAAAGGAAGTGAGGCAGCCGTGGCCAGAGCGTGGCGGGCAACAAAGGAGAGGGTCGACAGCGACGGGCAACATGCACGCGGAAGCATCTGAACGCTGTGCCTACGCCTTTTAGGAATGAGTCTCGCAGCTGCCGGGAGCGCCGCGCCGATGGGCGCCTGGCAGGCCACTCGCCGGTGGCCGGCGGGGCGCCGCGGCTGTCCCGATAGGGCCGCCGTCGCTGTGTCTGGCGGTGCGTCGGTGTGCGGATTCGGCGTCGGATGCACCGCAGAGGGAGGCGGAAGAGGAGGATGCCAGAACGGGCAAGCTGAGTCGAGCCGGACATGGATCCCGGGACGACGGCGAGGGTGGCGCTGAGAAGGGCTTGGCAGATCTGGTTCCCGATGGGGTGAGGCGGTGTTAAACTTCCAGTAGAAAGGTCGCACTCGTTGAAATAGCACGTCGGCCTCAAGGTGGCATCCCTTTTCAGCCCGACCGCCTCTATGAGTCTCTCCGTTTCGCTTGCCTCCTCTATCCCCATCCTGTCCACTTCTACCGCGCCATGTCCCAGCCCGACAGCAGCAGGCCTGAAATCCCCAGCATCGTCACCACGGACCTCTCCTCAACGTCAACGTCGCCGCCCCCGTAGATAATGAACACGTCGAGTTCGACGTCCAGCCGCCCACCCCTACTGACCAGACTTTTTGAGCGCGTCGCCTACCTACCTTTCGCCACCCAGTGCCTCTGGCAGGCGTTCCTCTCTTGACGCGCCCTATTCGCCCACCGTCTCGCCCACCTCGGGCATCGCTCCCCTCGCCCTCCTACGCGGGTTCCATCGCGGGCTCGTCCCAGCACGTCCCTCCGAGCCCGACGCTCTCCGCGCACTCCAGCGTGCACTTCGCCAGCTCGCTCGCGCTGCGCGACAACAAGCCCGAACAGAAGGACGGCATCTCCTCGCTCGGGCTCCTATCTCCGCACGCCAGCTACAAGCACAAGCGCAAGGGCAGCGTCGCGAGCAGCGTCGGGTCGGACGGCACCGAGCCGGACGTCGCCCCGTTCACGGAGTACGGCATGGTAAGCATAGCCGCCCCCCGGCTCGAGGACGAGTACAGGGCCTGAGCGTGCCGCCGAGCCCCACGCACACGCACTTCGACCAGGCGAGCGAGAACGGCGCGGCGAGCGAGTTCGACGGCACGACGATGCGCTCGCGAAGCGGCTCGGCGCACAGCCGGGCCAAGCTCATCTCGCCACAGCCACCCGAAGACAATGACGGCAAGCCGCCGTCGAAGAAAGGGAAGAAGACCGGCGACGGCCAGGACCACGACGACGACGACACAGATGCCCCGCGGCCCGCGCTTGACCTCTCCGCGGACGACGCGCTCGATGCTGGGCCGTTCGCCTTCAAGCCCTACCGGCTGGCGTCGCTTGTAGATCCGAAGTCGCTTTCTTCATTAGAGCAGATGGACGGCGTGAAGGGGCTGCTGAGGGGCCTTGGTACACATCCGAAGCACGGTCTGTCTGCCGCCGCAATCAAGAAGGCGGCGGATCCACAGTCTGGTGCAGGTGCAGGTGAGAGTGCTGGACAGCGGCATGACCGACCACCGCAAGATCCAGGTGGACAAACGGAGACGGAGCCCGTCCCGGGTATCGTTGTGACAGGGCCCGGGAGCGAGATTGATGTTAGCAGTGGGAAGCAGCGTCCTGCGGGCGGTGAGAGTGAGGAAGAGATGGACGAGAAAGCATACAACGCTCCGATGGAGGAACGGCGACGCGTTTTCGGTACGAATGTCCTGCCGGTGCGCAAGACCAAATCGCTCTTGCAGCTCATGTGGCTCGCATTGAAGGATAAGGTTTTGGTACGTTCCGCTCTGCCGCTTGTTCAGTTTGATATGATCAGAGCTTCTTACCTTTTGGGTTCGGTTCCTTAGGTCCTATTGAGTATAGCTGCCGTCGTGTCTCTTGCGCTCGGTTTCTTCCAAGACTTCGGTACACCAAGGCCAGCTGGCGAGCCTCCTGTAGATTGGGTCGAAGGTGTCGCCATTATTGTTGCTATCCTCATTGTCGTGCGTACACATTTCCTAGGTGCTGCTTTCGTTCTTGCTCACCTTCCATACCCGTTGTGCCTCGGCAACCTCCGACTGTATTCTTGGACCGCGTTGGCGCCCGTAGGTCCTTGTCGGCTCGATCAACGACTGGCAAAAGGAGCGTCAGTTCCAAGCCCTCAATGAGAAAAAGGAAGAACGTGGGGTCAAGGTTATCCGTGCAGGCGACGAGCGCGTCGTCGACGTGCACGAAGTCGTCGTCGGCGACATCGCGCTTCTTGAACCGGGCGAGATCATTCCGTGCGACGGTGTTTACCTCGGCGGCCACAACGTCCGATGCGATGAGAGTGGCGCGACGGGTGAGAGCGACGCGATCCGGAAGATCGACTACGAGGAGGCGGTCCGGGCGAGAGACGGCCACGGCGAACACGCCGGAGGGCACTCGGACTGCTTCATGGTCAGTGGGAGCAAGGTACTGGAGGGCTATGGGAGCTACGTGGTGATCGCTGTTGGTCCCAAGAGTTTCAATGGGCGTATCATGATGGGTGCGTGTCTTGTCTTCTATGTCCGCTCGTACGCTCGTCTGCACCCTATATCCCCCCGCCCATCCTGCGCGCTTCGATCAACACGCGCCACGTGGTGACATACCGCTGACCTATTTTTGTGCTCCTTCTGTAGCGCTCCGCGGTGACACGGAGGACACGCCCCTCCAGCTCAAGCTCAACGACCTCGCGGAGTTGATCGCGAAGGCGGGCAGCATCGCGGGGCTCGCGCTGTTCATCGCCCTCATGATCCGCTTCTTCGTGCAGCTGGGCATGAACGACCCTGTGCGCACGGCGAACCAGAAGGGCATCCAGTTCGTCAACATCTTGATCATCTCCGTGACAGTGATTGTCGTGGCCGTCCCTGAAGGTGCGTTCTCCGCAGACATCCGAGCCATAGAAGTTGAGTGAGGCCATGTGCAGGGCTGCCGCTCGCGGTGACGCTCGCGCTTGCGTTCGCCACGAAGCGGATGACGAAGGAGAACCTGCTCGTTCGCGTGCTCGGTTCTTGCGAGACGATGGCGAACGCCAGTGTGGTCTGCACCGACAAGACTGGCACGCTCACCCAGAACAGCATGACCATCGTCGCCGGCACCATCGGGATCCATTGCAAGTTCGTGCGCAATCTCCCGGACAACAGGTCTCGCACGAACGCCGAGGGCGATCAGCAGACCCAGGACAGGCAGGCGGAAGACGTCCTTCAAGGCACCTCGCGTCCGACGAATGGCAAGCGGAAGCACTCCCAGGACTTCTCGATCGATCAGAGCGAGATGAACAAGTTTCTGCACCCGGCGCTGCGTGAGCTGTTCAATGATGCGATCGCGATCAACTCGACGGCGTTTGAGGACGTGGATCCGGAGACGGAGGAGCTCGTGTTCGTCGGGAGCAAGACGGAGACTGCGCTGCTGAAGTTCGCGAAGGAGCTCGGCTGGGCGGACTACAAGAAGACGCGCGAGGCCGCGAACATCGTGCAGATGCTCCCGTTCTCGAGCTCGCGCAAGGCGATGGGCGTCGTCGTGAAGTTGGCGGACGGCAGGTATCGCGTGTACCTCAAGGGCGCGAGCGAGATCCTCGCGCGGAAGTGCACGAGCTTCGTGAGCGTGATGCGGGCTGAGGAGGACAGCGAGTCGACTGGCGTCGACACGAGGGAGATGGACGACTTGGCGCGGGACAACGTGTCAAGGACGATCATCTTCTATGCGAACCAGATGTTGAGAGCGATTGCGCTGTGCTATCGTGACTTTGAGTCCTGGCCACCTGCAGGTGCGTCGTACACTGCGGAGGACGAGGTACGTGCACTATGCCTGGTTTCGTCCTGAGTTGCTGACACCTATGTACCCTAGGTCGAGTACGAAGACTTAGCGCAAGAGTTGACTCTCATCGCCATCACGGGTATCGAGGACCCTCTCAGAGAGGGTGTTCGGGATGCTGTCGCGGACTGCTTCAAGGCCGGCGTGACTGTCAAGATGTGCACGGGTGACAACGTTCTCACGGCGCGCTCAATCGCGCTGCAGTGTGGCATCTTCACCGAAGGCGGCCTGATTATGGAGGGCCCTGTGTTCCGGAAACTGAGCGACCACGAACTCCTGGAGGCCATCCCTCGGTTACAGGTACTTGCACGGTCGTCTCCCGAGGACAAGAAGCTGCTCGTGGAAAAGCTCCGTGAGCTCGGTGAGATTGTGGGCGTCACTGGCGACGGTACGAACGACGGCCCTGCCCTCAAGACTGCGGACGTTGGCTTCTCCATGGGTATTGCTGGCACGGAAGTCGCGAAAGAGGCGTCCGACATTATCCTGATGGACGACAACTTCGCGTCAATCGTGAAGGCGATCATGTGGGGTCGGTGCGTGAACGACGCAGTGCGCAAGTTCTTGCAGTTCCAGATCTCGACGAACATCACGGCGGTTATGGTGACGTTCGTTACGGCGGTGGCATCGGCGTCGGAGTCGTCTGTGCTCTCAGCGGTGCAACTGCTTTGGATCAATATCATCATGGACACGTTTGCTGCGCTTGCTCTGGCGACGGACCCCGCTTCTCCTGAACTCCTAGATCGCAAGCCGGACAAGAAGACCTCGCCGCTCTTCTCTGTCGACATGTACAAGCAGATCATCGGCCAATCTGTCTACCAGATCATTATCATTCTCGTGTTCCATTTTTTGGGCAGCAGTATTCTGGCGTTTGATCCGCAATACAGCTCGACGGTCGCGCAGACCACTGTCTTCAATATCTTTGTGTTCGCGCAAATCGCGAACTCGGTGAACTGCCGGCGATTGGACAATCACCTGAATATCTTCGAGGGCATTACACGGAACTACTACTTCATTGGCATCACGCTCATCGGTCAGTACACCATCTGCGCTTGATGACTTGCCGCTGATTGCCTCGTTACCAGAAATCGGCGTTCAAATCCTCATCGTGTTCGTCGGCGGTGCCGCATTCAGCGTTACGCGAATCGGCGGCGCTGAGTGGGGTATCAGTCTGGCTCTAGGCCTCGTCTCTATCCCTCTGGGTGCCCTTATTCGTTATATTCCCAACGCGCCAGTTGAACGACTGCTGAAGACGCTGCACATTATGTCGACCCCTGCCGTTCTTCCGACGACGCGTACAGATGGCGACTGGAACACCGCGATTGAACTCGTGAGGGATAACCTGAACACGTTTGCTCACATTCGCGGTGGTCGTATGCGTGCGTCGTCTTATGTG